GACAACAGCAGCAAGAATATTATATACTGAAACTGGGAATGGAGTGATGATGAACGAATAGATTGTGACGGCCAAATCAACATGGGTTCTAAACAAAACTGAAGTTTTTGAAAGATTGGAAATCATTCATAGATAGATAGATAGATGAGCAATAAGAATATAACCATATAATAATCTGTGGTTATGATTATTAGTAATTTTAGTAGAATTATTTAGTTGGCTCTGTAATGGTAGAATAATATTTTCCATCTTGCTTCTTTTCTTTTCATTACAGTCAGTATTGAGGTAATTGGAGCCCCACTGGGTGTTAATTATATATGCCTCTCCCATTTTCTTCTTTTTTCTTTTTATATCTTTCCCCATTCTGTTTCTTTGGGTTTTTTTTAATGCACTCTACTTTGATTATAAAGTAGATTATTTGTGTTAAGAAAAAATTCAAAAAGAAATAAGGACAATTGATTAGTTACATATTTTTAATGCTGACTCTTTTTTTCTCTCTTGTTTCTGCAGTCAGTGGTTCAGCGTTCTGAGTCAAGTTCATGCTTCCACAGAACAGGAAATAAGAGAGATGCATGATGAACAAGCAAATCCACAGAATGCCGTGGTAAGGAAGGATTTTGGTGGCATTCCCTCCTCCTCTGGGCCTGTGTTTTTAGAACCAGAAGGTCTAGTTTGATAGTTGTATTAACTATGCCATGCTGTATTATCCATAAAATATAACAGCAGTCTGCTTGTTGGATCCCACTGCCCCATTTTTTTTTCAAGTTTGAGTCTCTCATTTGGTATCAGTCATTGATTGAGGTTCTAGGTTTGAGCCTGCCACTTTTGGACTCTCGCTTGCTGGGGTGTTCCAGCGAGTGTCTCTGTAGATCTTAGAAAACTATTTCTTTATTTAAGTCATTGACGTGCCAGCTGATACCCAAACAAGGGATGGGCTGGAGACGTCACTGCCTTGGTCCTTTCACTATTGGCTGCTACTTCCCCGCGGATGTCAGGTGGTGCAATACCGGCTAAACAGTGTAATTTCTCCAGTGGTGTAGGGCGCAGACACCCCGTGATAATGCGGCATGTCTCATTAAGAGCGACATCCACTGTTTTAGTGTGGTGAGATGTGTTCCACACTGGGCATGCATACTCAGCAGCAGAGTAGCATAGCGCAAGGGCAGATGTCTTCACTGTGTCTGGTTGTGATCCCCAGGTTGTGCCAGTCAGCTTTCGTATGATATTGTTTCTAGCACCCACTTTTTGCTTGATGTTCAGGCAGTGCTTCTTGTAGGTCAGAGCACGGTCCAGAGTGACTCCCAGGTATTTGGGTGCGCTGCAATGCTCCAGTGGGATTCCTTCCCAGGTGATCCTCAGAGCTCGAGATGCTTGTCTGTTCTTAAGGTGAAAAGCACATGTCTGTGTTTTAGATGGATTAGGGATCAGTTGGTTTTCCCTGTAATAGGCAGTAAGAGCACCTAGAGCTTCGGAGAGCTTCTGTTCAACCATCTCAAAGCTCCCTGCTTGAGCAGTAATGGCACGATCATCAGCATAGATGAAACTCTCTGTCCCTTCTGGCAGTGGCTGGTCATTTGTGTAGATGTTGAACATGGATGGAGCAAGCACGCTCCCCTGAGGCAGGCCGTTCTTCTGTTTCCGCCATCTGCTTCTCTAGCCCTGGAACTCAACAAAAAAGCTCCTGTTTTGTAGCAGGTTTCCTATGAGGCAATAAATCTGGTGGAAATCATCTAGGTTTTCTGCATGGCAGCAGGTTGGACTAGATGATCTGTGTGGTCTCCTCTAACTATGATTCTGTGTTCAGGTGACAGACATGGTTATCATTACTCTCATGTAATTCATGCTGAATCCACTGACATTTACTGTTTCCATCATTATTTCAATAGTATATGTAAGAATTAATTTCTAGTAGTTGCATCCCTTTGGATTCAATAACACAGTAAATTTTCATTTTAACGTAGGGAACGCTGGATGTTGGGCTGATTGATTCTGTCTGTGCATCTGACAATCCAGATCGGTAAGTAAAACCGCTGCTTTTAGAGGTGTTGGGGGGGGGGGGGGTGTATTTTTTATTGTATAATACATAGAAACATACCATCTTTGAAATTAACATTCAAAATACCAGTATTTTCCCCAATCCCACCACCACCACCCCAGGAACAATTAAGTACCTTTTCTGTGTTTATTACAATTGTTCAATCTTGAGAATAGTCTTATTTAACACTGTATATTTATCTTTCCCCTTTATTCTGTAAATGAGACTCTTCCATTTTGTTTCCCATGTCCTTCTGCTTTGACCCGTCGTATAGTAACTTTTCCTTTTGCTAATATAATCTTGGAGAAGGTTATCGGCTAGATATTTGTACCAAGTTTTTATATCCCATTTTTTAGAGGTGTTGGTGATTTTTAAAAATCATATATTTTAATCAGAGAGTTCTCAAACCTTTGCAAATTACCATTGCTTCAACTTCTCAAAAATCATATATAAAAAAAAACAATGGCGAAGGGGGAAAAACTGGAGGACGTCTTGAAATTTTGCATCAGTAGTTAGGATATTTATCTTTTAAATTTTACTCCTAGAGTGTCTGAACCAGTAAGGTTGATGTCATTTCTCCCAGAAAGGAACACAAGTAAATGAAAAAGAGAAACAGCAGTTTTGGCTACAGCATTGAAACAATTTCCTTTACATTTCAGAAGCAATAGTTTGGATCAATTTTTTTAAGGGTTTCAAACATTTAAAAAGCATGGACTTCATGCCTTGATATCACAATATCTTTATAGTTCAGAACTGGCAAATGATGCTCACAATGTACTTATCATAACCCTCCTTAGATTTAGCCTTTTGAGTTTATCTGACTCCCTTCTAAAGCTTAACATATGAATCTATTTTGAAAATTAGTTGTTAGCACTGGCAGTTTTCCAGTCCTCCAAGAAAGAGTTTAATTTTAATACCTAATAGCATTTTAAAAACATCAACAGTTTTAAGTACTTTGGCGCAGTGACTTGTTAAATGTTTTGTCAAAGGCTTTCATGGCCGGAATCACTGGGTTGCTATTGAGTTTTCCGGGCTGTAAGGCCATGTTTCAGAAGCATTCTCTCCTGACATTTTGCCCACATCTACGCAGGCATCCTCAGAGGTTGTGAGGTCTGTTGAAAATTAGGCAAGTGGGGATTTTATACCTGTAGAATATCCAGGGTGGGAGAAAGAACTCTTGTCTGCTGGAGGCAAGTGTGAATGTTGCAATTGGCCATGTTGGTTAGCATTTAATGACCTTTCAGCTACCAGTATTAAAAACTCTAAAATCAGGACAGTAAATAAAAAGCAACACTAAAAAAAGGGGAATTCCTGACAAGAATCAATCAGAGCCAGCTAACACCTCCCAACAAAGGATCCCCCAGGCAGCAACCAGCCAGGCTTTGAAGCTACAAGGGCATTAAATGCTAATCAAGGTGGCCAATTGCAACATCCACACTTGCCTCAAGCAGGCAAGAGTTATTTCTCCCACCCTGGACATTCCACGGATATATAAACCTGAGTTGCCTAGTTTCCAACAGACCTCACAACCGCTGAGGATGCCTGATATAGATGTGGGTGAAATGTCAGGAGAAAATGCTTCTGGAACATGGCCAGACAGCCGGAAAAGACTTGTTAAATGTTAATTTATTTATCAACCTTAGAACTTTGTCCATTGTCATCTCTATTTTATATTGTCCCTTAGATGCCTTCTCTGAACAGCATGATTCAGAACACTTCATCCCTTGCAGTCTGCTACTAGCCATTAACCAACTTGTCCAAAGATACATATTACAACTGGAGTGAATTTTGAAAGTTGTCCAGTTAAGAATGCCTCTCCTTTGGCCCCAATAATATCTACTGCAAACTCCTTGGTTAGGCACCTAGAAACATGAATTGGAACCAACTCTCCATTAAACATTTATTAACATCTAAATATAAATTATTATAGGATGGGACCAAGATGTCAAATGTCAGGATTTTAAAAACAAGTCACTTAGGGTAAAATAATAAAGTGATTCAACACTTGCCAAAATATACAGTACAAACAAAGAGGAAGTGCTTATACTGAGAGCAAACACTGTAAGTCAGACTCACTTTGTTATTGATCCAAATAGTAGTCATGTTTACAATACAGGCATTTTCCTTTCTTTATATTCCCTCCATAGACCCAATTCATTTGTGATCATCACAGCAAATCGTGTTCTTCACTGCAACGCTGACACTCCCGAGGAGATGCATCACTGGATCACTTTGCTGCAGAGATCTAAAGGGGACACTCGTGTTGAGGGACAAGAGTTCATAGTCAGGGGTAAGGACATCTTGCAGAGAAATTTTTTAGTGGAATAGATTTTTTTTTCCTTGCTGATGTTTAATAATTTAAATATTTAATTCAGAAAATCATTGCCTAGGCTGTGTCTTATCTGTCCAAGGATTTTTAGATCCTGTTAAGATAACATAAAAAGTAACTCCGCCTGTTTTAGAAGAACTAGTTCCAACAACACCACAATATAGTCAAGTGTGTCTCCTCGTTGGTGCTTTCCCAGCAGGTTTTGGCAATACTAGAGCTGACTATTAGCTAGAAATAGCTGGCAGGGAGGCTTTCCTGCACTTGATAGTGTCAGGTCTATTAGCATCAGAAATAATTTGACAGAAATGTATCCTGTCTCTTACTAAAACTTGTGATGTTGGATGAACTGTGGACAAGTCTCTGAAGAACAAACAGAGTTTTAGTGCCGAGTATTCTTCATCAGATCATTTTTCATGTTGCATTGGGTTTGAACTGATCCAAAAATTGCTCGTTGATCTGAATTTGGAAAGAAGAGCATTTCTCAATGTTCTACCCCAACTCTCATCGACAAAAATGGAACCCCTGGTAGCGCAATGAGTTAAAACCCTTATGCTGACTGAAAGGTTGGTGGTTCGAATCCAAGGAGCAGGGTGAGCTCTCATCTGTCAGCTCCAACTTCTCATGCAGGAACATGAGAGAAACCTCCCACAAGACGGTAAAACATGGTAACTCAAAATCAGGAACAGAAGGGAGAAACAACATGAAGGATTCCATTAAGAAACTTAATCTATCCGAACGTATCTCGGCCTATCAGCCCACCAGGACCCTAAGATCTTCTGGGGAGTCCCTGCTCTCTACCCCGCCGGCTTCACAGGTGCGGCTGGCGGGGACGAGAGACAGGGCTTTTTCTGTGGTGGCCCCTCGGCTTTGGAACGCCCTCCCTATAGAGGTAAGATCAGCCCCCTCGCTGATGGTGTTTCGGAAAAGATTGAAGACATGGATGTTTGAACAAGCATTCGGTTAACCCGGTGCAATGAATTCTGATGATCAAAGGACTGGTAACCATGGACGACGAGATTGGATTGCGATTTCAGTTACGAGATGCAATTGGATTGTTATTGGTGGCCCAATAATTTTGTATTGTATATGTGTTTATATGCTTTTAAACTGAATATTGTGATTTTTGTATTGTTGTAAACCGCATTGAGTCGCCGATTCAGGCTGAGAAATAGCGGTATACAAGCGCAGTAATAAATAAATAAATAAATAAATATAAGAAATCTAAAACTAAAGACGTGGAGTAAGAAGACTCGGAAGACAAGACTTCCCCCATACGGACTCCCCCCTTCCTACCTTTTTTACCCCCAACCTGTCCCCGCATGCCCCCAAATCTTAGTGTTCCATAATAGGGCTTTTCCCATTCCCAAACCCTTCCCTATACTTCTTTCCCCCTCCTCCCCCCCCCCCCAATTTCGCCATAAACTTACCCTACTGTTTTAAGGTTTACAACTTTTTCTCTTACATTTTGTATGCATTGAAATATACTTAATAAAAACTATTTTTTTTAAAAAAGGAAAAAGATGGTAAAACATTCGGGTGTGCCCTGGGCAACATCCTTGCAGAGAGCCAATTTTCACACCAGAAGTGACTTGCAGTTTCTTAAGTTGCTTCTGACATGAAAAAAATTGCTGAAAATAATTTTTGTATATAGTAGCCATTCAAAAAAGCCAACTTCTCTATGTGCCTCCTACTGTTATCATTGTTGTTATATATATAGCCCACATTCACCTCTTAAATGTGATTCAAAGCAGCTCAAACGCTAAGAACAATATCATTTAAACACTACAATATATAACTATTAAAATAGAATGAAATTTCCTTGCTTGAAAGATGGCTTATTGATAACTACGAGCTAAGGGGAGATGAGCAATGGATGGAGAAATAGTTTAGTTAACACACTCTGTGTGTGGGTGTGTGTGGGTGTATACACACACAGAGAGACACACCATTCCATTGCTTCATGTTGTGTACCTTGAAATCGTTTCTAACTTATGGCAATGATAAGGCAAGCCTTCCATGGGAGTTTCTTGGCAACATGTATTCAGAAGGTGTTTGTCTTTAAGGTAGAGAAAATGAGACTCGCTCAGGGACACCTGGTTGGTTTCCATGGCTGAGTGGAGTCTCCAAAGTCATGGTCCAACACTCAAACTAACAGACATAATCCAACACTGTTTTTATTGTGGTTTTTTTTTTATACATACATCACAACCTACCCTGCAAACTGTACATATATTCAGAAATGAATTATTTTTATCTCAAGTTTTGGAAAATGAAAATCTCCATAGCTTTTTGGGGATTTAAAGATCTTTGGAAAGGCATGATCTTGTTAGAAGTCACAACCTTTTGAAAAATGATGTAATAACCTCTTGGGAAAAGCATGACCTGTTAGAGACATAACCTTTTGGGGAAATGGCATTCATGCAAGGCAACTGATACCCTAAATATCTCTTTGAACTGTTAGGGACAAAGATATACCAATGCACAGACATATACATACATACATACACACACACACACACACACACACACACACACATAATTCAGCAGAGTTTCAGAAATGTTATTTTAGTTGCCCAAAAACATCCACTCTCCCTTAAAATATATATGCCTTTAAATCATGTTCTCAAGAGACAAAAATAAGTAGACTTCTTTAAAAGTAACATAGTTGGCTTACAAACTTCATGTATTCAGCATACAAGTACTTTGCATATCAATCCAGTTAATAACAGGATTTGAAGTAGTTTCTCTATGTGGGTACCACAGAGCATCTTTCTTAGAATCAATAGTCCAATAGTCTCTGTCTAGTCCTCAAATCCAATGGCGTCTAATGGCTTCTGTACAGTATACTGTTCTTACTGAAGTCCTGCTGGTGTCTGAAAGCAAACAGGTCCTACTGAAATCTGAAGCATACTGTTCTAAAAAATGGAGTCTGAGTCCTGAACAATCTCAGTCTGATCACATGGTCTGCAGCCCCTCCCATAATAAAGAGTTAAGGTAAAATTGCAAAGCAATACACACATAAACAATACCGTAAGCAATCTGAATTATATACATAGCAAATAACTAGTGGAGGCTTGGGAAGGTTGCTATTTCCGGATGACTAGGATGGGAAGGTTGCTATTTCCTACATCAAGTGCTTTGGGTAAGAGATATTACGACAAAACCTAATGCATGGTACTTGTCATGTTTAATATTGTTGTAAATACCACTTTTCTGGGTATATCTTTGAGAATATCACAACAACGGAAGACAAATTTGACACTGTTCCAGAAGAGCTTTCATTCATGAAGTGTAATTTCTTCTGATGACTAGGATGGCTGCACAAAGAAGTTAAGAACACGCCGAAGATGACTCTGCTGAAACTGAAGAAGCGGTGGTTTGTCCTGACGCACAATTCTTTGGATTATTACAAGAGCTCAGAGAAAAATGCTCTCAAGTTGGGCACCCTGGTGCTAAACAGCCTGTGCTCTGTTGTGCCCCCTGATGAGAAACTCTTTAAAGAGACAGGTAACTCACTTTTCATGAGCTCTTTTCTCCATGATGCATCTAATATGACTATTATTAGTATGAGGAATAATCTTAAACATACTTTGCAGCTCAAACGGATCTAAAACAATGGGCTCATTTCAGGCATATTTGCTTAAGCGAAATGGCAGGAAATAATTTTGTATGGAAGGTTTCATAAACTGTCTTCCATTTGTTCAATTTAAATTCACAGAGTATTGGGATTTTCATTGTTATGATCTGCACAATGTAAAGGTGTAACAGAATATAGAGAGTTGCTGCAATAATGTAGTTACAAATCTGTGCACTAAACTTTGCATTTCATGATAGATCAGATTCGTTAGTTCTGGCTTGCGTAGAATTGTTAAAATGATTTGGATAGTCCTGCTTCAAGAAGTGTCTACTAGTAGTCTAAACCTAATGAATGCTACATTTTCTTACTTCCTGTCACTGAAGGCTACTGGAATGTGACTGTGTATGGACGCAAGCATTGCTACCGCCTCTATACTAAGCTGCTTAATGAAGCTACCCGCTGGGCAAGTGCTATCCAGAACGTGATTGACACAAAAGCCCCAATTGACACTCCCACACAGCAGCTTATTCAAGACATTAAGGTGAGGCTATAGCCACCATATTCATTCCATCCATTGAGAAAAATAACATAATTTTGTAAATGGTTCAGAAGTAGAGGTGAGAATGATTGCTTTCCCACTTAATTTGTCCCAAAAGCACAGTAGCAGAGATGTTCATGTACTACTACCCTTAGCCTTCCCCATATGCTACCCTCTTTCAAATATAACCCACATGGTTCTATGAAGAAGCACATAATACACTAGATACAGAACGCCCTCTGTATCCACAATGCACTTTATCAAACTATGATTTCTTATGTAGACAAAACAACACCATGTGTATACAAGGGCCAAATGTCAGCAGGCTTAAGGAAATTCCATGGTCTAAAAGAAAAATATTGTTTATAAAACTAAACATTGGTGTGAGGAGGACTGTGGTAACACCAGAATGAAAACACCACAGGAAGGATTAGGTATGCATAGTTGGCAGAGAATGCTATCAGATCGTTGAGAAGAGGATAGGGATGAACTAAAATGAAAATGGGCTGAACTGAAATGATGTGTCCCAAAAGAGTTGGCCCCAGAATAACAAACACTATGGTAGCAATGGTGGTGGAGGACATAGTAATAGTAAGGAGGAGTAATGACATTCACATTTTTATCTTTCTGTCCTCCAATGGCATTATTTAAAATATAGTCTGAAAAGAAGCATGTCTCTGACAACGGTAGCAACCCTTATTGATAATGCCCAGATAGCTCTGCCATATCCCAGCACTCTGTCATTCAACTGTTATCAGATTACAGTTATTGTTTTGCGTGACTTGCTAAAGGTCCCCCAGTAGGTATTCATGGCCAACTGAAGATTTGACCCTGGTCTACAGAGTCAGAGTCCATTGTTCTCAAGCCATGCTTCTTCTCAAAAAAATGGTAGCATCTGGTACTACAGAGAAGCAACCATGGTGATCTGGTTATCATAACAAAGATCCAGGAAATGAAGCATTGATTCCTCTTTCTTTGTGGTTGTCTGTTTTGGTAATCAGACCTATGATGTCAGGCTGCTGAATATACTTTTATAATAATAATAATAACAACAACCACCGCCTCACAATCTCTGAGNCCAGAGGAAAAAAAATTGTGTTACATAGTGTTATAGGAGCTTTGTTGTGTCAGTTTAAATATTATAGTGTAAGCTATCATGGGGACAAATGCCCAAAATTTACATAGGTATCAGTGCAAATGTTTAAGAATGCAGACTTTCCTGTGAAATATTTTCAAGCAGAATTTAAATACAAGACAGTTCTTCTTGGCAGGCTCATTGGAACTGTATTTAAATAACTTACTGCTGAACTTTCACTAGCATTTAATAGTGGATTATTTTCACACTTGCATTGCAAATAATTCTGATTTTTGCGCATTTACACAGGAGAACTGCCTGAACCCTGAAGTGGTTGAACAGATATATAAGAGGAACCCTATTCTTCGTTACACACAACATCCACTGCATTCTCCATTGTTGCCTCTTCCGTATGGAGACATCAATCTAAATTGTACGTCCATCATATATTTTCTCTCATTCTCCTTGTTGCAAAATCATATAATCATATTCATAAAAATCAACTGACATTTTACATGCTTTTACCTTGCTAGAGTCCCTTGTGTAGTCTTTTTATGATCTTGCTACTGTTCCTTAATAGTAGATGTAATTAAGAAAGGTCATTGATGTGCTCAGCTCAGAATAGCTCCCAGTAATTCCTGGGAAAAAGCAAACATAACTTTAATTCACAAAGAAAATACAGACCCGACGGAGACCAAAAATTACAGGCCCATTTCATTACTAAACAATGATTACAAAAATTTCGCAATAATTTTGGCAGAGAGATTCAAAATATTTCAGAGGAGCAGACTGGTTTTCTACCAGGCAGACAATTAAAGGACAACATAAGAATCTTGATTAACATGATAGAATACAATGAAAAACATAATGAAAAACAATTAGCACTGCTCTTCATTGATGTGGAAAAAGCTTTTGAAAAGGTTAATTCGGACTATCTAAAACTGTTATTAAAGGAATTAGACATCAGGAATAACTTCAAAAATGCAGTAGAAGCAGTATATACAACACAAGAAGCAACATTAATAATAAACGGCCAGGAAATCTATATCGCACAAGGAACATGACAAGGATGCCCATTATCGCTGCTCCTGTTTATATTAATAATTGATAACTTTGTAAGAAACATAAACGATGATAAGAGATTGAACGGCATGAAAATATTAAAACAACAGTTTAAAATGAGAGTGTATGCTGACGACGTAGTGTGCATCATAGAAAATCCGTTAGGTAACATCAATCTATGGCTGCGTAAAATAGAAACATTTGGTGAATTTTTCAGCTTCAAATTAAATAAACTAAAGACCAAAATGTTAGTAAAAAAAACTTTGATAAGAAGTCAAAAGAGATATTACAAACACAATCTGAAATTCACACAGGATGATTCTATTCCCAAATCCTTATCAAGCTAACTAGTTCAAACAAGACTTGCATGCAAAAAGTTTATTTTTTCCAGTTAAGAAAGCATGCTAAACATCTGTTCATCTTGAATTTTGTAATCATGAAAGGCTAAACTGTTCAGATACTGTACATTAAATACTTGCCTCGCTTGAAAGCCAATGCTGGTGATTTAAGGGACACTTCCATTTTTCCATTCTCTAGTGCTCAAAGAAAAAGGCTACACTACTCTTCAGGATGAAGCTATCAAGATCTTTAATTCTCTGCAGCAACTGGAGTCTGTGTCAGATCCCATTCCTATCATTCAGGGCATTCTTCAGACGGGACATGATTTACGGCCACTTAGAGATGAGCTGTATTGTCAGCTCATCAAACAGACAAACAAGGTCCCTAACCCAGGGAGTGTGGGCAATCTGTACAGCTGGCAGATCCTCACATGCATGAGTTGCATGTTTCTTCCAAGCCGGGGTATTCTCAAGTACCTGAAATTCCACCTGAAAAGGTAAGCAGATAAATTGGTACACGCAGTATATTAGAATTTGTTTATTTGTGGGGCCAAAGCTCCCTAAAATATTTTTCTTGTCATGCTAGAAAGTGAAAGAGATGATCTGAGAAAGTTGCATGAGGAAAACAATAGGAAGAAGATATATTGCCGTTCTGTTATTGTGCTCCTTTTCAGAAGCTAATCTTATAATTCAGGTCAAAAGTCACAAAGGAGTTTCAGTATTTAATAATTCCTTTATTTTTTATTTTTTTACAATACCATAGCAGAGTATTATATCCAGTATACATAGGAAATAAAATTTCATTACGTTACTTGTAAAATCTTTTCAGTTTTTTTTTCCCAAAAAGCTGTTCAAACATCAGACCCCATTGTGACTTTTGGCCCTGTAATTAACTCCGGGTGTAACAGGATATAGAGGGAAGAAAGTAAAGGAACCGGAGTGAAGAGATAAACAGAAAATAAATGTAACAAAGAAATGTAATACAACAACAACAACAAATACACTGTGTCCGAGGAAACACAGAGTGGATTACAACAGAAACAGATAGGCAAACATTCATGCCTTTAATACAGTGAAATAACAATGACACTCAAATACACAGAACAAAGGTTCCCCTTTCATTTCCGGCTTCCGGAGGCAGTGCTCAACTCTGGCCATGGGGAGGTGCTCTTTCTCCATTTCCAAGCTGAGGAGCTTGGTATCCGTAGACACTTCCTGGTTGTGTTGCCAGCATGGCTGCATGGGCACCTCTTATTACTTCCCGCAGAAGCAGTACCTATTAATCTACTCACATTTGCATGTTTTCGAACAGCTAGTTTGGCAGGAGATAGGGCTAACAGTGGGAGCTCACCCCAACCTGCAGCTTCGAACTGCCAAACTTTAGATCAGCAGATTCAACAGTTCACAGTTTAACCCGTTGCGCCACTTCAGAAAAAGGTGGGCTCTCCCTCTTTGGTGGTATATTACTACTACTACTACTACTACTACTCACCTCTCCTTTTGGATAGAGAGATGTGTACATAGTTAAAACAAAGATAAAACTCTATTAAAGGACAAGATAGAGATAAAATTCAAGTTTAAATCTATTGATAAAATGTGGGTTAAAAATAAATGAAAATAATACAAATATTATAATTATAATTATAATAAATGAAAATAATATTACAGCACATTAATCTTGATTACTAAAGTGTTCTTGGGGCAGGATACTGGACAGCATCCAGTACGATTCACTCCAGAGAGTAGTTAGTAAAGAAAATTGCCGCCCATATTTGAATTCATATAAGTGTAATGTTATAAAAGTTCCTCATATTACCAATTTTAAAGAAACAGCATGAAGTTGACTCTCGTGTTTGTCCCAACAGGGTACACGACCAGTTTCCAGACACTGAAATGGAAAAATATGCTCTTTTCATTTATGACTCTCTTAAGAAAACTAAAGGCAGAGAGTTTGTGCCTTCCCGGAGTGAAATTGGAGCTTTAATCAACAGACAGGAGATGACCTCTACAGTCTACTGTCATGGTGGTGGCTCCTGTAAGATCACCATTAACTCCCACACCACCGCTGGGGAGGTGAGATGATGCAGCAAGGATTCATTGTGATAAACTACAGGGGGTCATGTCTCATATCTTCATTCCAAGATACGATTACATTTTTCACCATATGGTATATATTTTTGGAAAATGTGTACAAATGTATTGTTGCAAAAGAAGCAGTTTGAGAACCAAGACTCAGAATTCCATTTTTCTTTGCACGTCCTCTGAAATATTTCAGTGTTTCTCATATTGACAGACATCTTGAGAAATTGATGTAGCTTCCAAACGTGCCAATTTGTGTTCCTAATAGTAATATCGAAATTGTGGGGTCTGTTGGATTGTGTCCTTTGGACCTAAATCTCACCTTGCTTACAATTTGTTGTTCTTACCTTCTAAGGTCCAACAATACGTGTTCTGTCTCATTTTGGTTTTGTCTACTAGGTTGTTGAAAAGTTAATTCGAGGTCTGGCCATGGAAGACAGCAGAAATATGTTTGCCTTGTTTGAATACAATGGAACCACAGAAAAAGCCATTGAAAGCAGAACTATTGTGGCTGATGTCTTGGCAAAGTTTGAAAAGTGAGTGTGCCTTCCCTAATAAGTTAGTAATTAAAATCTTTAGCAGCAGCTTTCTGAATTTCCCTTCCTGGAATTAGTAGCATCTTCTCCCCCACCCTGCCCAGAAATGGATTAATGAAGTGCTTGTAAGCCTAGAGATGATTTCATCCCTCTTCACTGTGAGGGTTGTGTTCTGCTGTCCTGAAATTGCCTCTCTCGTGCCTTCCCAGCGGTCACCCACTCAATTTGGACTTTGTCTCCCTTTTAATGGTCCTAAGCCTGCTGAAATCATACTAAATGATGGCAGGGGAAACCCTTTCATTGAAGCTACAGAGGAAGTTTCTTTGGACAGTCCAGAAAGAGAACCAATATTCTCATCAGACTCTACTCCAGCAGTCACTCCTGTTACACCAACTACACTAATAGCATCCAGAATGAAGACAAAAATTGTAGTGGCCCCTGTGGATTTTGATAGATTCGGGGATTCAGGGAAGAATCTATCAAATGCGCCCATACCTTGGGAAGTCTGACTTGGCCGTGGTAGTCCATGCTCTGGTTACTTCCTATATAGACTACTGCAACGCTCTCTACGTGGGGTTGCCTTTGAAGACTGTTCGGAAGCTACAAATGGTCCAACGGACGGCAGCCAGGTTGCTAACAGGAGCGGCGCTCAGGGAGCACACAACTCCTTTGTTGCGCCAGCTCTACTGGCTGCCAGTCTGCTACCAAGCACAATTCAAAGTGCTGGCTTTAGTCTGTAAAGCCCTAAACGGTTCTGGCCCTGCTTATCTGTCCGAATGTATCTCTCCTTATGAACCATCCAGGAATTTAAGATCTTCTGAAGAGGCCCTGCTCTCTGTCCCGCCTTCTTCACAGGTTCGGTTGGCGGGGACAAGTAGCGGCCACTCCCAGAAATATTTTCAGTGGTGGCCCCTCGGCTATGGAACACCCTCCCCAGAGATATTAGATTGGCTCCCACTCTCCTAACAGTCTGAAAAAAAGTCAAAATCTGGCTTTGTGAGCAGGCTTTCTCAAATTCAGTGTAGTAAATAATTACTTGACCTTGGAACGGCTGGACAATTGCAATTGGATAAAGATTCTGGAAATTAGATACGGAGGATTTATGTTTTATGTTTTATTGATTTTATTGTTTATGGAATTTCAGGGATGTTTATATGCTTTTAACTGTTTATATTATTGTGCTGGTTTTGTAAACCACCCTGAGTCGCCCTTGGGCTGAGAAGGGCAGTATAGAAATATAGTAAATAAATAAATAAGAAGCAAATGGGGACCTGTTTGATATTAATGTGTCAGATCCAGAGAAAGTTGGTGATGGCATGAATATTTACATATCTTATAGAGTAACAACAAAGACATGTTTGTCTGTTTCACCAAAATGAATTCTCTGTAAAAAGAAGATTCAATGACTTTCTAGGCTTTCAGAGCAAATTAGCATCCACATACCTGCATGTTGGATACATTGTGCCTCCAGCTCCAGAGAAAAGTATTGTAGGCATGACCAAGGTGAAAGTAGGCAAGGGTAGTGAAAAAAGAGCAGCATTAGAAAGGTATCTACAATGAATAGTAAAACACCCAACCTTGTAACAGGATCCTGGTTTAAGGCAGTTCTTGGAAAATTCTGAGCTGCCGAGAGAAATTAGCACCCAGGCTCTGAGTGGAGCAAAAATGTTGAGGATAGTAAACAAGGCTACCGGCGCTGTCAACAAAATGACCATCAAGATGAATAAATCAGATGCATGATTTGAGGGAAAACAACAATTTGAATACTTCAGAAACTTCATAGTAGTGTAGAAGCCTTGGTTTGTCACTGAAAAAAGCTTTCAGCCAACACAGCTGATTTTTACTAAAAAAAAAAAAATACTGTAATGTTAGGGAACTCAGAAAACCACATTGCTTTGTTTCAGCTTGTTGAAATTGAGGAAAAGATAAATCAGTTACATCAAGAACCAGTGTTTGCTAACTTCTTTGTGTTCTCTGAGCTGCCCAGTGATTATATTTGCCTTCTTGGTGCAATTGGTATTTCTTCTAGACTTTTCTTCATTCAGATTTCTCTTGAATGATACAACTTCTCTAATGGTACCAGTCAAGGGTGCAAATGTAGAGGCAGAATTCCATGGTAGTCTCCCTTCCCAGGAATATTAAAAGTTTGTCAGGGCTAAGCTACTGATGTTAGTGCAAAAATTATTAGAATCACCCTGGCATTTCCCTTAGGGCAGTGGTTTTCAACCAATGGTCTGTAGACCATCAGTGGCTCACAAGAACGAAAATGTGGTCCGCAGCCTCACCGTTGCCTCGAAATCATGCAGCAACTACAGTGACTGGTCTCACGAAACCCTCTTATAGTGCCGAGACAACGGGGATGTCAGGAAGGGAGAGGCTGACTATCCACGAAAAATTACTGCTACCACATCAGATCTAGATTATTAAAAATGGTTTTCTGTGGGTGGGCAGATGGTGACTACTGGATGGCATATGTTCTGTATCAGAAACTAGAGCTGATGTGGTCTATCCAATGCACTTTTCTGAATCAGCACCCCAAATAACCAAACGAATCTAAAGTTGACCAAAAACTAATTTGTAACCCTTTTGGTAATGTTGGAGAGTGGTCCCTGGTTAAAATGGCCCCTGATGAAACCAAAATGTTTGGGAACCCCTGCTTTAGGGGAATAGACCATAAATTTGCTGGAACTCAACCACATCCTGCACAAGTTTCTAGTCCTCATAGAGGAATGAAATAGGCCGATGAGCTATCTGGCAGGGGAAAATCCTTCCACCATTGGCCCTTTTATCTGCCTGTCTTTCTTTCCTTCCTATCACTTCACTTGTTAGACTGATTCTCCTCTTTTTCTGAGGACAAGCCCCTGAATCCTAAATTTTTGTTCATTTCCTGTGAATATGGAGAAAGACAAGACGTCTGCCACAAAAAGACAGACAGACAGCTGGGTCCGGTTACCTTTCCTATCTGGATATGTAGTTCTTTAACAACTTCTAACCTTTGCTTCTGAATTGCTTAAGCTCAGTCTTCTACTGCTAGCACTAGAAGTTTCTAATCTGCTGCTAATGCTGTTGCTGCTGCTTTACCTTTTTGGAATGGTTTTGCCTTTTTTTTTGGAAATTATCCCCCAACAAAATTCTTAGAAATTCTGGTTAAATATGAATGTGGTTGTTGATTCAGTAATTTGGATTTTAGCCTTGCATTATTTCACATAGTTGAGGAAAGCTAACTATGAGAGCTGTTTAGCAGTGGAACTCTCTGCCTCAGAGTGTGGTGGAATCTTCTTTTTTGGAGGCTTTTAAACAGAGGCTGGATGGCCATCTGTGGGGGTGCTTTGAATGTGATTTTCCTGCCTCTTGGCAGCGTGTTGGGACAGGATGACCCATGTGGTCTCTTCCAGCTTTATGCTTCTATGATTCTAAGATTCAAAATGCAATCCAAGCTACAGTTTTTGTCAGATTCTTTAAACTCAGAATATTGTACACTTCTGTTTTTTTCAGGCTCGGCGCTGCATCAGAAGGTGATCTTACAGCATGGAAATTTTACTTCAAGCTCTACTGCTTCCTAGATACAGAACATGTGCCAAAAGATAGTGTAGAATTTGCATTCATGTTTGAGCAGGTAAGAAAAAAGTAGCTTTGATTTCTTACTACACAAGACATGTCATCAGATCAAACATTAGAGTGATTGAAAAAGCAGTTTCTTTGTGCCTGCTTCCAGCAATGGGGCTAAGACAAAATGGGAGTGTCATCCAAGGTTTTCCCTTCATGTTTGCTATTAATAGTGGCATGGCAGAAAAGAGGCAAATCTGATTCCTGGAACATAAGCCATCAAGAGGTTCTTTCAATTTGATTTTTGTGAGATTAGTATGAGAGATTACTATCGGCATGCATCTAGGAGTCAAGTAATCCCTAGCCACTTCTGAAAGGTCTTTAAATAAAGTAACAGTGGTAGTAACTTAACATAGAGTTTTCAAAGCACCTATTTCAAGGAATAGGTTTTTTTCTGAAAATAGTCTGGGAAATGTTTGTGCATAGACAAGACTTGGATCATATTCCAAGTTGAGCTATCTACACAAGATATTGACCAGGCCTCATTGTCACTTTGTATGAAACGACTGACTGTTGTCCTATAAAACAACTAACCAGAATTCTATGAAATGAAGAACAAGGCAACGCGATATTAAGAATGGACCCATCGTCACAGCTTGTAGGCAAGAGCAGCTAAACACACCACTGGCCTTTTGTCCATCGTTTGTTTAGTGGGACGTCTGGATCCAGCAGGACCTGACACTCCAGCTTGTCTCTACTAACAAGCCTGGCTTTAATTTCTTAGCTTGTGTGGGAAGAAACAAACCAGAATGCTAAGGGCTGTCAAGTTAGGACATCTCTATAAAAATAATGGGTTAAAGATTCATGATTTGTTTAGCTCCCTTAGTCTGCTTTCACTAGGAGTGTTTCACCTTCATTCACCAGCATGCAAGCTCATCCACAAGAAGACAATATGCTTTGGTCACTCAACTTACAATTTTAAAACCCAGTTCCTAAAACCCTGTCAGAAGAGCAGAGAACGTCGTTGCAACCTCCTAAGGGAAAGGAGCACTGAAGCCTGGAAGCAGTTACTGTTATAATCATATCAGAACCCAGGCCAATTGTCTACCTCAATGTTTCTCAACCTCGGGGTCAGGACCCCTGGGGGGGATTGCGGGGAGGGTTTCAGAGGGGTCACCAAAGACCATCAGAAAACACATATTTCTGATGGTCTTAGAAACCCTTTTGGCAGAGAAAGCTGAATATCTCTCTGCCTATCCCTCTCTTTCTTTTCAATTCCCAGAATTCAAAAACAACCCCCCAACCCCATCAGTATTCAATGTTGGCTATGTAGGTAGTGTGCCAAGTTTGGTGCAGATCCATTGTGAGCTGGGTTCAGAGTGCTCTTTGATTGTAGGTGAACTATAAATCCCAGCAACTACAACTCTCGAATTTCAAGATTTATTTTCCCCAAACTCCACCAGTGGGCATATTGAGTATTCGTGCCAAGTTTGGTCCAGATCCATCATTGTTTGTGCTGTCTGGAGGTAGGTGAACCACAACTCCAAAACTCAAGGTCAGTGCCCACCAAACCCTTCCAGTATTTTCTCTTGGTCATAGGAGTTCTGTGTGCTAAATTTGGTTCAATTCCATCATTGGTGGAGTTCAGAATGCACTTTGATTGTACGTTAACTATAAATTCCAGCAACTACAACTCCCAAATGACAAAATCAGTCTGTCCCCAACCCCACCAGTATTGGGTACTTGTGCCAAATTTGGTTCAGTGAATGCAGATACATCCTGTGTATCGGATAGTTACATTACAATTCATAACAGTAGCAAAATTACAGTTATGAAGTAGCAACAAAATAATTTTATGGTTGGGGGGCACCACAATATGAGTTACTGAGTTAAGGTGTCACAGCATTAGGAGGTTTGAGAACCACTGGTCTACCTAGTCCTGTATCCTTGTTTTCCTGTAGCAAAATCTCAAGTTCTTTTGGGAAACTCACAAGCACTTGCAATTTCTGATTAGCAGTGCCTTTGAGGGTAGTGAAACTGAAAGAAGGCTGCCCCCAAAGATCTTATCGATAGAACAGGAGCATAAACACAAGTCTTTCAGATAGCCTAGGCCTAAGCAATATAGGGCTTTCTAGGTCACAGCCCCAGCACTTTGAATTATGATTTCCACCCTTTCCAAAATGAAAGCAGTAAGTTGCTGTAAAAGCATTTCTTCAGCTTTTTAAATCAAAGGTGTTAACTGATCACACCTCTGTAATCTGTGAAGTTTATATTCAGCATGCGTGGGATTTGGGTGGGAGGTTCTCGTCTAAGAGACAGCACATCCGACCCTTCTTTACTACTTGACTTGTTCTTTACTGAAGCATTGGCCTCTGGTTTGTGGGAAACTGTATGTACAAAATGTTGACTCTTTGGTACAAAAGGTCTTGCTTTCAGATTGTGTGCATTGAGTTACCTGTGTATTAAACATTTTTTCTGAACCTTGGACATAATAATTATTTTGGGGTTGATACTCCTCCTCCTTCATACCTAGAAAGAGCTTTCCACATATCTCCTTTTCAGATTGTAATAGTAATCCTTAAATTAGGTGCAGAAATTATGCCTCTCCTCTAGTGATCCAAGTAAGTGTACATTGCACTCCTCTTTGCCATTTTAACCTCTCATCTGCTCTGTGAAATAGGTCATTCTGGGAGGGAATGGCTAGCCTAAGGTTACCTAGCATATTTCATAACTCACTGGGAAATTAAATCTGGATCCCCAAAATCCCAGTCCAGCAATCTAACTAATGTGCCATGAACCGAACTATTTCTCAGTTTCAGCTGGAAGTCCCTCAGCCATTTAAGAATATATTCCACATTTCTCAGAAGCATTTTAAAACATCTCATTTTCAAAATTCTTCTATTCATGAAGTTGTCTTGCTTTCATCTCTACCGTATTTCAAGATTCTTAATCTTGAAATAACTTAATCATTTTACCCTGAGCATCTTACATGTATAACTTCTGGGTCAACTTCTGTGACCTTAACTTTGCTAGGTCCAGCTTGCTATCCCAGCTGGAGATATACCTAATATCTGAGCTCTGGGTTAGCCCGTAATGTTATCAGTTGACAGTTTTTCTCCTGATATTTCAAACAAATGTTTATTTTCTATTTTTGCAGAGCTTAGTTAGAGCTATATAAGATAATTTGTATTCCTTCCTTGTAGTAGCCACCTAGTAAATAGCAGGCTGAATAATGAATGTCTCCAGAGTTAATGAATATACTTCAGAATGGGGCAAGATCACAAATCTCTGGGAGAAACTAAATGGATTTGTTCGTGGAAATCCATCTGAGAATTAAGTCTCAGCAGGAGACAGATTCTCTGCTTATACATAATTGTAGTGGGCTATTTTCTTTTCAGAAGTGTTTTGACCAGAAAGCTTCAATTAGAATTATTTGCTCTCACTGAGAGCGATTTTATCCCCATATGTTGCTTGATTAATATGCAGTCTCAAATTCTACTTGTTAGTATCACTAGGCACAATGAGTTAAACCTTTGTGCCGGCTGAACTGCTGACCTGAAGGTCGGTGGTTCGAATCCACGAGAAGAGGTGAGCTCCTGTCTGTCAGCTTCAACTTCCCATGTGGGACATGAGAAAATCCTCCCACAGGGTGGTAAAACATCCAGGCATCCCCTGGACAATATCCCTGCAGACAGCTTATACTCTCACACCAGAAGCAACTTGCAGTTTCTCAAGTCGCTTCTGACATGATAAAAAAGGATGTTCATTTGTATATTTCTGATAAAATCTTTTTATATCAGCTGTATTTGCTTTCCTTTGGGGGGCCCTGGTGGCGCAGCAGGTTAAACTGCTGAACTTGCTGACCAAAAGGTTAGAAGCTCAAATCCGGGGAGTAAGGTGAGCTCCCACTGTTAGCCCCAGCTTCTGCCAATCAAGCAGTTCAAAAACATGCAAATCTGAGTAGATCGATAGGTACCACTCCGGTGGGAAGGTAATGGCGCTCCATATAGTCATGCTGGCCCCATGACTTCGAAGGCGTATACAGACAAAGGCTTAGAAATAGAGATGAGCACCACTGGACACGACTAGACCTAATGTCAGGGGAAACCTTTAGCTACCTTTCACCTTGCTTTCCTTTTCCTTCTCTAATTTAATTCTGTACCTGTTCTGCCACATTACAGTCTGTTGAAATCATACATATAGGACTAACTGCCCACCACAGAAAGAAATGGACTGCAATCTTACATTAGTTTCCAGCACCTCAGCAGTAATATTAAAATCAAGATCAACCCCTGATTTGAATTTCAAGTCATTCCCGTTCTGGACATAACACTGAATCCTGGTTTAAACAGACCATGACTAAGGCAAGCAATTTAATTTCTGACGCTCATTTCCAGCTTCCTAATACATCGCTTGGCATTGGTTCATCTTAGACCCCTTCTACACTGCCAAATAAAATGCTTTGAACTGGATTAGACCCATATAATCCAGTTCAAAGCAGATAATGTGGGTTATCAGCTTTGATAATCTGAATTATATGGCAGTGGAGGAGTCTTAGTTGAAAGCAATCACCTTATCTTTTAAAATAAGTAAATTCCATACTTTAACTGTGTGATATCCTTATATCTTAGTTCAGTTACTCATCAGTAGACTAAGAATATACTCCGTTGTTCAGACATATATACTAAAGATATATAAATATTCATACTATTCATAAAGATATCTAGTTGCAGTAGTGGTTCATTTATTTATGTATTTACTTGTTTACATAATTTATATCCTCTTTTTTCCTACAATGGGATTCAAGGCATTTACTTGCCACCTTTTCAGTTTCTCAGTAGTACCATCCAAACAATTACACTGGACATCCGTAAGTTCAGAATAGCCAAGCATTATCAGGACACAGAACAGTGAAACAATACTCTGGGGCTTTGAGGCCACTGTTGCAGGGTCATAGAAACACCTAGCAAATTTGCATGGCCATTTCAGATGGTAGGCAAACACTGCTTCTTTTGGGATGATTTCTGCAGTTATTAAGAGGAAGCCATTTCACCTAGAAAATAAGTGACTTGGATGCCCTCTGCTGGCTTTTGATATCTGAGGATTCATGTTTCACCAAAAGTAGTAGTCCAAGTAGACAGCTTGTCTGTATATATTTTGTGATGGTTATTTTTTGTGGGAGGAAAATATTAGCTGTCGCAATGCTAGTAGTTGTATTAGCATTTACAGAAATCGATTTAATTCTATTTTTGAACATTCAAAACCGTTCACATCAATCAGCTTCTAGGAGTCTCCTTACTACAACCCAGCAAGGCCAATATTCTTAATTCTGAATTGCCTGGAAAGTGGGATTCAAGCTGAGAGTTTTATCTAGAAGAGTGGTTCTGAAATTTCCAAATGCTGCAACCCTTTAACAGTTCCTTGTGTTATGTTGACCCCAACCATAAAATTATTTTGTTGCTACTTCTGTTTTAATTCTGTTAATTGTATATTGTTAGGCTACTGTTATGAATTATAATGTAAATATCTGATATGCAGGATGTATTTTCATTCACTGGACCAAATTTGGCACAAATACCCTAACGTCCATATTTGAATACTGGTGGGAGGACTGATTTTGTCATTTGGGAGTTGTAGTTGCTGGAATTTATAGTTTACCTACAATCAAATAGCATTCTGAACTCCACCAATGATAGAATTGAGCCAGATTTGGCATACAGAACTCCCATGACCAACAGAAACTACTGGAAGAATTTGATGGGTATTGACCTTGAATTTTGGAGCTGTAGTTCACCTACATCCAGAGAGCACTGTGGACTCAAACAATGATGGATCAGGACCCAACTCGGCACAAATACTCAATATGCCCAAATGTTAACACTGGTGGAGTTTGGGGAAAATAGACTTTGACATTTGGGAGTTGTAATTGCTGGGATTTATAGTTCACCTACAATCAAAAAGCATTCTGAACTCACCAATGATGGCATTGGGCCAAACTTCCCACACAGAACCCCCATGACTAACAGAAAATACTGTGTTTTCTGATGGTCTTTATCCCTCTGACACCCCCTCGCAGGGCCCCCAGGGGTCCCAACCCCCAGATTGAGAAACATTGATCTAGAACCAGCCAGTGAGCTCATGATGCAGTCAAGAGTCAACGTGGGGATTTGTGAGTCAGGGCTGCTTCTTAGCTTCACCAAGAAGATGGAATTCAAGATGTTATATTGCATGCACCTGCAAAAGTATTTCTTTTCTGTCCATTAGGCACATGAAGCAGTGATTCGAGGACATTATCCGGCTCCTGAAGAAACCCTCCAAGTCCTTGCTGCCCTACGGCTCCAGTATCTACAAGGAGACCATACTTCATCCAATATCACTGTGCCAGAAATGGAAGAAGTCTACCCTTTGCAGAGGCTGAAGTCCCGTATTATCCAGTCCACTAAAATATTTTCTCCAGCAGAGAGACTGGAAAGAAAGCGGAACAATTTCCTGGAAGGTACCCTGAGGCGGAGTTTCCGCAGCAGTTCCATCAGCAGACAGAAGATGGAAGAGGATCAAATGCTTGACATGTGGGTCAAAGAGGAAGTCTCCGCAGCCAGGACAAGTGTGCTTGATAAATGGAAGAAACTGCAGGGAATGACCCAAGAGCAAGCTATGGCAAAATACATGAGTATGATTAAGGAGTGGCCAGGATACGGGTCAACACTCTTTGATGTGGAGGTGAGCACTAAACATTCTGCTGGTCTTTTTAATTGTGAACCAAAAGAGTGTACTATTGGTAGTACACAATATATTAAAATATCTTTTGGGACTCCATTGGGGAAGATGACTTTATTCTCTGCTTTAATAAGCCAAAGGGCCTTTGTGGCGTTTTCAGTTACTACTTTAATCGACACACACATGCCCATTTATACCCACCCCACTAAAAATACAAAGACTTGAAGATTTATGTTGCTGTTGTTTATTAATGCCTAGACTATACACCATTCGCATACCAACAAATAAATACAATGTAAAAATGCAACAGTACAAAAGTACAGATCTTTATACAGAGTGTGTGTGTGTGTGTGTACACACACACAGAGTATAAACAGAGTATATACAGAGATATATAAGTGTATATACAGAGATGAGCAAAAGCTACAGTCCAACTTTTAATGGTCACATTTCTCGACACTATTCAGGTACTTGATCCAAGTTTGAACATTCATATTGTATTGACTGGAGTTGTTCAGACTTGTCCAAATTTCCCCATCAACTAGGGTCATAATAAGCAAATTAGATTGGCATCATCCTTTCTTAATCCTTAATGACCCACTGTGTCGCTTGAATCAAGAGAAGCTAGATGCCAGGGAAGGGGAAGGTAATATATATGGGCACATTTTTGTGACTCCCAAAGCTAAAGGATATAGGAGCAATGTGTTGTCGGAGGCTTTTGCGGCCAGAATCGCTGGGTTGCTATGAGTTTTCCAGGTTGTATGGCCATGTTGCAGAAGCATTCTCTCCTGCTGTTTTGTCCACGTCTATGGCAGGCATCCTCAGAGGTTGTGAGATCTGTTGGAAACTAGGTAAATGAGGTTTATATATTTGTGGTATGTCCAGAGGGGGAGAAATAACTCTTGTCTGCTTGAGGCAAATGTGGATGTTGCAATTGGCCACCTTGATTAGCATTTAATGACCTTGCAGCTTCAAAGCCTGGCTGCTTCATGCCTGGGAGAATCCTTTTTTGGGAGGTGTTAGCTGGCCCTGACTACTCAGACATGTGTAGTTAGATTGACATATCAGACTACATGAAGCCATTGAAACTCGCAAGCATGTGGACAATTTCAACAGAAATGCGGAAACCATGAAAATGAACAAAATTTGGCTGCCAGTATTAAAAAAATCTCTAAAATCAAGGACAGTAAATAAAGAACAACACTTTGAAAACAGGGGAAATCCAGACAGGAAACAATTAAGGCCAGCTAACACCACCCGACAATGGATAACCCCCAGACAGGAAGCAGCCAGGCTTAGAAGCTGCAAGGCTATTCAATGCTAATCAAGGTGGCCAATTGCAACATTCACACTTGCCTCAAGCAGACAAGAGTTCTTTCTCCCACCCTGGACATTCCACAGATATATAAACCTTACTTGCCTAGTTTCCAACAGACCTCACAACCTCTGATGATGCCTGTCATAGTTGTAGGTGAAACATCAGGAGAGAATGCTTCTGCAACATAGCCTTACAGCCCCAAAAACCCACAGCAACCTACCTATATAGGAGCAATTTTGTCATTTTAGGTTCAGGAGAAGGTCTTTTTCCTAATATGAAACTACCCGGAGTTCACTTTCTGGTAGTAACAGGCTGGTTACTCCCAGCACATTGTACTACATTAAACAAATTTCTTGTGTGAAATGAGAAAAGAGTGGTAGAGGACACTACATGCTTTAAAATTAGTTATATCTAAGCCAATTTAGAAGATCATAGCATCATTCATAATTACAATTTCCTTGACATTATTTTATGCTCTTTTACTTCCGCAGTGTAAAGAAGGGGGCTTTCCTCAAGAGCTCTGGTTGAGTGTTAGTGCTGATGCTGTTTCTGTTTACAAACGCGGAGAGGGAAGACCACTAGAAGTATTTCAGTACGAACATATCCTCTCCTTTGGTGCTCCCCTTGCTAATGTCTACAAGATTGTTGTGGATGAGAGAGAGCTACTTTTCGCAACCAGTGAGGTAAGAAACAAAACTGACATACACACCTATTTGTTGCAGTCTTCTATTTCCTTTTACTTACTTACTTATTAAAAGGATGGCTAAAAGTAATCACCTCTGACTGCTCTCAGATATTTTTGTTGCCAAATTTCACAAGAGGATTAAATCCTTAAGTGTCAACACTATGCATATTTTTTTGGACTCCCATAGTCTGAGTAGACTTCCAAGTAAACATGCATACAATTCAGATGCTTATTATTATATATTTTCTTGCAGGTTTCAGTATCTGAAAGAGGTAATCAACAATAGATGGGCAGCTGAATTATCTGACAAAGAAAGCCTTTCCACCATTACTATTATTATTATTATTATTATTATTATTATTATTATTATTATTATGTATTCATTTCTATTCTACTTTTTCCCATGGGTAGGATTCAAAGTGGCATGCCAAGTTTATAAACACAAATACATATACATCAATGCATAAAATACATAATGAGCTAAAATACGCCAATTTAAAGAAATAACCCCATTTGAACACCCCATGTATGACAAATTAATAACTTACAACAAATACCATTAAACAGATTTCCTTAACCTCCGACCACTGCGTTTATTTATAAATATAAGTTATGCAAACTCCTAAAACGCTCCATTTTTGTAAGGCCATGTCACACTTGCCAGGACCAATAAAGCATTCAGAACTATTACGACCAGCTATGTGGCAGTGCCGATTATCATTCATCTGGGAAGGTCTGGCTCCACAAAAAGGTTTTAATTTGAGATCGAAAAGCCAGTAAAGAGGTGGCCAATCATGCCTCTCTAAGAAGGGAGTTTAAGAGTCGTGGAGCCACCACCGAAAAGGTCCTCTCTTTCATTCCCACCAACCGCCCTTGCAACGGTGGTGGGACCAAGAGAAGGGCCACTCCTGATAATCTCAGGTCTCTAGTGGGTTGGTAGGAGGAGATACAGTCCCTCAAGTTGGCTGAGCCCGAACCGTTTAGGGCTTTACAGGCTAAAGCCAGCACCTTGAATTGTGCCTGGAAACAAATTTGAAGTCAAGTGTAGCTGCTACGGGAGCGGAGTAGTTCTTTCTCTATATCCCACTCCTGTAAGCAGTATGACAGGCACCGGTTCAGGGTCAGGATGGCATCCTTGGTTAAGCCATTCAGCTGCAGAACTTCCTGGCTGGAAGGTCGACAGTTTGAATATGAACAGGGTGAGCTCCTGTTGTTAGCCCCAGCTTTTACCAATCTAACAGTTCGAAAACATGCAAATGTGAGTAAATCAACAGGTACAGCTTAGACGGGAAGGTAACGGCACTCCATCAGTCATGCTGACCCCATGACCTTGGAGGTGTCTACGGAAAACGCTGGCTCTTCAGAGTAGAAATGGAGATGAGCACCACCCCCCAGACACAACTAGGCTTAATGTCAAGGGGAAATCTTTACCTTTGACCTGTACAATAAGGACAAACCATTAATCTATTTTGCATTGCTGTTGTTGTCTTGGTAGGTTGTGGACATTGCCAAACTGATGAAAGCTTATATCAGCATGATTGTGAAAAAACGTTACAGCACCTCTCGCTCAGTGAGTAGTCATGGAAGTCAAAGCAGCTCCAGGTGAATGAAGCAAGTCGAATCTGTCCAGTGAACCCATCACTGCCATCTCATCACTTTCTTCAGAAATGGAGACCGGAAGCATCTCTCAAGCTATAGACAAAATCTTGTTGCTAGGAGACATTCTGCAAGCATAAATAAATATATAATGTCTATTTGCATGTTTCCATACTAAAAACTTTATTGGCTTCCAAAGCTTCAAGCCTTCCAAAGCTTTGTTACCTCTCGATAACATCCTGTATGCCTTACCTTTTAATACACTGCCTTTGGAGCAGTACGAAGTGCCTTAAAATATTTGTAAAACCAATTTGCATTGATCTGCATTGTATTATCAGAGAACGTGTATGTTTGTGTTTTTTTGTAAAAAAATAAATAAAATAAACCACTTAGTATATTGTAGGACAAGCAAATTCAGCCATCTTGCACTAACCAACTGGCTGGTTCATGCATGAGGAGGAAAAGAAGCGTATTTCTTGGAAGGCTGCAGGCAGCTTTCCTTAAGGACTTTCTTGGCAATGTTGTATTTCCCTTCTTCCCCGCCTCCTGCCATCATCCTTTCATATGTGTGCATGTATATGACCTGGGTTAACTCCTCTAACTTTATTCCATTTTTGCAACTTTCAGAAATTGAAAGGGAATAATAATGTGCAATGGTGTAAACAGTCTTTATGTACATTTGAATAGTCCAGAGCTATAGTAGTCTCAATTGTAGACTTTCTTTATAAGCCAGTTTTATTTACATTTGGGGGTGGGGGGAGTTCTATTATAACTTTTTTTTGTATTTTCTTCTAGAGATGATTTTTTTATCCTTTTGTTACATATGTATGTAACAAGCTTATGTTTCTCTATCCTGCTGTATTATAGATAACATATGTAGTTGAAGAAACTGTATTTATAGTCTGCCCTCCATATGGAAATGCCATTATCAGTACAATATTCAATCAGTTCCACTTTATAAGTTTGTTTATAAGTTCAGTTCAATATATAAGGTTTTTTAAAATATATTAAAAATATTTCAAAAATATGCATCTGTTTTGTGTTTGTAGAATGCAGCTTGGAATTTACTAGTAACTTGAAAGCTGGATAACACTTTGCAAGAAAATTTGAAAATTGTATGTTCCTGGTTTGAAAGTGTTATTTCTTGTTGAATTGTGCAGTACTTACATTTAACATTGTTGTTATACTCCAAAAAGTTGGTTTTTGTGGCTGTCACAAACTGTGTTAAATTGGATGTGACTTGATGATATATTCGTTGAAAAATTATAGTGCTGCAGGGTATCCTGCAAAAAGTTTTTGCAGTTTTATAAACTTTTTCAATATTTTTTATGATAGAACTGTTATCTTCCCACTGAAGTGGTACCTATTGATCTACTCCCATTTGCATGTTTTTGAACTGCTGGATTGGCAGAGGCTCGTTGGAGTGAAGGATATTAAAGGCAAAGATGAAGTACTTTGGCCACATAATGAGAATACAGGAAAGCTGGGAAAAATGGAAGGAAAAGGAAGAGGGGCTGACCAAGGGCAAGATGGATGGATGGTATCCTTGAAGTGACTGGCTTGACCTTGAAAGAGCTGGGGGTGGGCTGGTCCATGAGGTCACAAAGAGTCAGAAGTGACTGAACGAACAAACAACAACAGATTAGCAGCAGCTGGGGCTAAGAGCGGGAGCTCACCCCGCTCCCTGAATTCAAATTGCCAACTTTTTGGTCAGCAAGTTCAGCAGCTCAGTGGTTTAACCTACTGCGCTACCGGGGGCTCCCTGAAATGTAGTCTACAACACATAATATTCTTGGGTTGTCTCCCATCCTATTACTAGCAAAAGTTGACCCTGATTAGCTTCCAAGATCAGGAAGGAACTGATTCCTTTAGAGGAGTTTTTCTTGTTTTGGGTTTTTTATCATCTGAAAATGACCTTGTAGGGACAATGAACAACACTGGCCCAAATGCTGTGACTCCTCAAAACATTCTCCACCTTCAGCCAAGTTCCCCTTTTCAAGTTCCCCTTTTGCCAAGTTCCCCTTTTGTTTCATGTCAGTTGGCCCTGACATGAAACAATCAGGGCCAACTAGCACCTCCCAACAAAGGATTCCCCCAGGCTTTGAAGCTGCAATGTCATTCAATGCTAATCAAGGTGGCCAATTGCAACATTTACACCTGCCTCAAGCATCAAGAGTTCTTTCTCCCACCCTGGACTTTCCACAGATATATAAACTTCACTTGCCTAGTTTCCAACAGACCTCACAACCTCTGAGGATGTCTGCCATAGATGTGGGTGAAATGTCAGGAGAAAATGCTTCTGGAACATGGCCATACAGCTTTGAAAACTCACAGCAACCCAGAACTTTGTTCATCTAATGGGACCATGCCTCTAAAGAGGCTCTGTCTTGTCTGCCTAGCAACATATGACCAGTTAGTCCAGGCATCTTGCCTTTTATGTCACAATGCTAGGGCTCTGGTCTCCCAGGGAACAGAGACATATACAGAAAGCTACTGAGCCCTTTCAACTCACTTTTGAAGGACTTGAAGGGCTGTGACCACCTGTAGAGGTCTGCCCAGATCAACTACACATTAAAGAAACAAGGGGGAAAGCATGGTATCATTACCACTTTCTGATAAGCAATGATGCCAGAATTGAAATATATTAAAATATGTGCATTGATTTGATGACCACCAGTGGTCTGCAAGAACTAAAATGTGGTCCGCGGCCTCACCATTACTACACCATTGCAACAAGAGTGACTGGTCTCACAAAACCCTATTATAGTGCCAATGCTTATTAAATATGGTTTTCTGTGGGTGAGCAGATGGTGACTACTGGGTGGCACATGTTCTGTATCAGAAACTAGAGCTGATGTGGTCTATCCAATGCAATTTTCTGAATCGGCAATTCAAATAACCAAACCAAATCTAAAGTTGACCAAAAATGGATCTGTAACCCTTTTAGTACTAATATTTGAGAGTGGTCCCTGGTCAAGGTTGAGAACTACTGCCCTAAAGTCATATCAGCTTTCCACATCAACCAGGACATCGTGCTGCTGGCCTTCATGCAGAACACATCCTCTGCATTCAAAAGCTTCTTTGTCTCAATGTCCATAAGTGGGAATCCCCTATTTACAGTGGGTGGAGGTAGGTACAAGATTTACCTACTCCCCAAAAGATTCTGAAACATGCACAGTACACGTGCAGGATTTACTGTAACTGCCATTACAGATATGCAAGCTGTCCATTCACCAACTGCTGCAATTTACTTACTTAGGCGATCCCTCATTGTCCGAGTAGGATTCTCTCCCAAGATTGGTGTACTTGTGTTGGGTCCGTAGGTGACTGTGGAGCCCTATTCTTGACCTGAACGTTCTCCCACAGTGAGGCCATTAGTTTCCAGGTGGAAGGCGGTCCCAGTTAGGATTGGCTTGATGCGCCTTTCTCTTGGCACGTTTCTATCTTTCGCCCTCCATTCATGCCTCTTCAAATTCTACAGCACTGCTGGTCTCAGCTGACCTCCAGCTGGAGCACTCAAGGGCCAGGGCTTCCCAGTTCTCAGTGTCTATGCCAGAGTTTTAAGGCTGGCTTTGAGCCCACCTTTAAATCTCTTTTCCTGCCCATCAACATTCCGTTTTCCATTCTTGAGATCAGAGTAGAGCAACTGCTTTGGGAGACGGTGGTCGGGCATCCGGACAACATGGCTGGTCCAGTGGAATTGGTGGCAGAGGACCATCACTTCAATGCTGGTGGTCTTTGCTTCTTCCAGCACGTTGACATTTGTCTGCTTATCTTCCCAAGAGATTTGCAGGATTTTTTGGAGGCAACACTGATGGAATCATTCCAGGAGTTGCATGTGATGTCTGTAGATAGTCCATGTCTCGCAGGTGTATAGCAGAGTTGGGAGGACAATAGCTTTATAAAAAAGCACCTTGGTATCCCTACGGATGTTCCGGTCCTCAAGCACTCTCTGCTTCATTCGGAAAAATGCTGCACTCGCAGAGCTCAGGCAATGTTGTATTTCAGTGTCAATGTTGACTTTTGTGGAGAAGTGGCTGTCAAAGTTGCAGAAATGGTCAAGGTTTTCTAATGTTACACCATTAAGCTGTATTTCTGGCATTGGAGAGGGATTGGCTGGTGACTGCTGGAAGAGCACTTTGGTTTTCTCGATGTTCAATGACAGACGAAGCTTCTCACATGCTTCTGTGAAGGTGTTTAGAGTGGCTTGCAGGTCTTCTGAATGTGCACAGCCACCATTGTCATCAGCATATTGGAGCTCTATAACAGATGTTGTAACCTTGGTTTTGGCTTTCAGTCTGCTGAGGTTAAATAGCTTGC